AATAATAACGCTTCATGTAATACAGTACTATGTTATCATCACATTAATAGTTGTAAAAATTAATAAAAATAAGATAATAAAAATTATAGTATTAAAATCAAAATTATTACAGGGTTATCTGTTGCAACGCTTCATATAATAATTATTATATGAAGCGTTGTTATGACAATAACAGTTACAACTCTGCACCATTGCCATTCCTAAGGTTATATTTCGGTGAAAATATTAATTATATTGTGAATATAAATGTGTTGAAGCAATAACTACTTACTGTTTTCAGTTATCCCACAAGTCTTTCAGGTGACTGATATGCAAATTCCAGCAATTGTGGTCATGATGAATTAAATGCTCTTTTTTCACACAACAATGCTAAAATCATAAGAATTATACTTTGAAGCAATCGCATAGATATTTAAAATCGAGCCTATTTGGTTAAAACATGAATTTCTACTTAAAATGACAATTGTTGAAGAGTTTTCTGAAAGGTTTAGAAATTGGATCCTCAAAGTTTATTATAGATTCAAATTATTTACCTGTAGATAGATTGTCACTGCTCCTCACGAATAATCATTCTATATTCTGGTTTTGATACAGGAATACATTAAGATAGTTTTGAAACTTTGTTTCAGCAGCTTTGAGAATTTATGGAACTCAGGTAAACATTATCAATTTCGTTCGATATTGGTTATATAAGCTCAGTAAATTCTCATAGCACTGGAAAAAAAGTGTCATGGTTACATACCTTACATAATGATTACATGCGTTAAATCGACATCATCGTGTATTAGAAAAAATGCTATTTTGCAGCACGGCCAAATGGCAATCAGAAAATTCCAGTAATATAGAGCAAACAAGTAACAAGAAAACGAAATATATGGGGTAATGATCTAATATTGAGGTTTTTTGAATGATAATAATCTTAGCTCAATGAAGTTTCGTTCGTTGCACACATGTTAATTTAAAATCACTTTACTCATTTATTAAGTGACAGGTTTTGTCATGCGAGTTTATTTTAAAGATATAAACAATAACGTCTAGAGCATTGCATTGGTAAGCACGTAAGCCATATTTAATAGGAAATTTGATAACTACTGACGTAAAGTCAAAACATTACTATTGATCTAGCCCATGTGGTGAACAAAAACACTCATATACACATACATGTAGTCATTCTTACACAATGACGTATTGTATTGCATTGATACACACAGTCTTATGCTATTTAATGTACGGTTAAAGGGGTTCATGCAGTATATCAGATAAGCACGGCACTTCGGAACTACTTGGAATAAATTTTTACCAGGAAGTGTAAACTGCTGTGGGAGACATGGCCAGGTAAGTCATATTTCTTATGTATTTATTAAATTGTTATGATTCTGTACAATTCATGCATGTTATAATGATTGATAATATATATCGTTATGTATGTAATTGTCCATGATACTTAGGTCTTGATCACTCGTGCGAATCCTTATGTGTTGAACTGCTCACCACTGTGCTTTATTTATGTTCTCTGTCATTGTACACATGCAATAGATGACTGTTCTCATATAAAGTATTTCTGGGATTAGGTTATACACAGAGTGAAATTGGTAATATACCTAACCGTATTTCCTCACCGACGCTATATGCTACTGATAACCGTTCTATAATTGATCAATACAAATGTGATGCGACCTAAACGGAACACCTTTAAATTATTTTATGCACTTTTGGTTTCTCGTACAAAGAAGTAATTACAGATGTAAAACTATTACACGCGTATGTAAATTACATATATGTGAGGTATAAGTAATTATGTCAGGTTTTGTAAGTCTGGATCTACCGTGTTGCTTATCATCTCTATGGAAAAAAGGTAACATGAAAAGAGGAAAGAATTAAGAGAAATAATGTCATCGAACAACTCAAATAACCTCTGTTTTCTAACAGGGAAATATTGCTCAAGCTACGAAATGGTCCATTTTTGGCGCGTATTCTTCTTGAAATAGACTGTTAAACCTGACATTCCTCCCTATACGCTGTTTAATTTTGATATATTTTAATATTTGAAACAGCGAAATAAAACTGTAAAAAAAGAAAAAAGAAAAGGGAATTGGCGAGTAAGTAATTGGAAAAATATCGTCATTTTTTCAGTTAAATAATTTCAAATGCTCTTATACTGTCTTATCCCTACAGAAATAAATTCCCACAGTAAAAGCAATGTCGACACAGGAGCAAGTTAAATTTACAGAATACATACAGGTAACAAGAAATTAATTTATTTTGAATTGCCGTTCCATTGTATCCTGACAATATCTGGACGTTAATAGAAATAGTCCAATGATTGATGTTGGTTGAAGATGAATTGTAGATTTTCCAATATACAAAGACAAAGATTTAATGAAAACTTATTATGTTCAGTTATATAAGATATGTTTAAAATATGTTTTTGTTGGTACAATATTCATATATCGTGAATAACACTTTTAAATATTTTGCATTTCTAATATTTCCCCAAGGTTTTGTATCGTAAGATGTACGAGTTATCGTAGCATGATGTTTGAGACTTCAGATGATTTTGAAACGTCCGTAGCGTTTATTCAGATATTTGATTATTCACGCATAAAATGACTTACTAGATAAAAAGATACTTTTGCTTAGAAATTATCATTACAAATAAAAAAACCTGTATTTATTTTTGGAAAACAACTTATTTGTTGTTTGTATTCAATACACGGTCCCTCATCCACGATACTCTAGGAGTTGCAATCAATTTCGCTCTCTGCACCCATGGCATAATTAAAAACACAAGCGAAGTAATTTGATTGGGGAAAAAACTGATCAATTACAGGCTGATAAATTCATGTCAAAGATTACAAAGCAGCTTCAAAGCCAATATACCGTTTTGCGACATCTTTTCGTCTTGTCCAAAAGCTGTCACACATGGTATCTTCAATTTTGCCATGACAGGGTCCAGGGGCGCAAATAGGGAAAGTTATCCTTACCATAAGGTATCGAAGATGAAGGTCCCTATTTAATAATGTCATTATCAGAAAGAATCGAATCTCGTTCTTTAAGCAGAATTAATTGAATCGTTTTGATTCTACTACTACTGAGCAAACTTATAAACACGAAATATTTCGATGAACAAAATAACGATAATTTTGAGTATTTCACCTAAGGCTTATTTTGTATTTCGTTACAGAAGCGTAACAAACCATGTTACTCCTCCAAGGGTCGTAGATTGTATATAAAAGATTATTATGTAAGTGAGTTAAAACATTGACTAGATATACTGCAGTAAGAAAAGTTATCACATGGTACGTAATAAAGGGTAAAATATCATAATAGGTATACTTTGATTTATGAAATGACGTAAGTGAATCATTATTATGTAAGCAAGTTAAAACATCGACCAGAAATAATGTAGCGGAAATATTGTCACATTGTATGTAATAAAGGTTAAACTATTATGATATGTATAGTTAATGTATAATGTACGGTAGGTTATTATTTTGATCTGAACGACTCTGTGTATCATGCTTATAATATAATACATATGGAATACCTAGCCATTTCCTGCAAACAAGACTATTGGAACAGCGGAGAGGATGTCAATTTCAACGTAAGTTACTTGCTGTGTTGATTTTATGATCGAATTGATATAAGCTGGCGTAACTAAACATGTAAACCAGCTATTTATGCCTTTTAGTTAACGTTATTTTAAAGATTCTTTTTATGTAAACATTGTACAGAATTTAAAAATCGTGCGATCACCGCAAAATATAACTTTTTATGCCAGCTATTGCACCTGATGACAAGATCATTTACAGCTTAGGTATACTGTGGTTTTTGTAGTACTATGTTACATTCATTTACACTTGAAATATAGTAACACCTGGTCTGTAAACTGCAAATTCAGAACTGAGATTCCACATTACATTAACGGGGTTATCAAATAGGTCTGGGATAAAGTAACGATATGTGTGTATTCAAATAAATTGGGGAAGACATTCAAAGACTTCCTCTGTCTTCGGCGTGAGTAGGTCACGGTGTACAGCTATTGTGAGAGCTAAACATATCTAACAATTGAAAGCAGTTCGGCATTTCATTTTTCAAGTAAAAAAATGAAAAAGAACAGATAACAAGTTTTTGTCAACTGCTAGGCATTATTTTTTGTATGGAGTGCCTTGTCATTAATAAACAGACTTATTCAAACTTCACTTTAATATGGTTGATACGTATTGGCAAGTTCTGAACTTTAGAAACGAAAAAGATTACGTGCCTTTTAATAAAAATCATTGATAATACTGGTCTCTTTCCTGAATACATGCCAATTCATTTGAATAGTAATACGATATTTATCTCTGCAATTAACTTCTGTGTCCCAATGAATGATCATAGAACATGAAGTGTATACTTCAGATTAGGAAAAAGATAATATTGATGTGGAGAAAATGTTCATTAATTGACTGAGAGAAGATAGTGAAATAAAACCAAACATATAATCAAACATATATATATATATATATATAAAGTGGTAACAATACGAGCTGGCGAAAATGTCAGTAAAATCGTCAATTGAACTTGATACTGATTGTACATGGTCAAACAATGATACTGAGATTATTTACAATGGGATTCAAGAACCAAGTACAATACAGAATCAGGGCAATTGATCAAGAATGATACATGTCACCTTTATCAACTGCCATGAAAATATAGGCAAAATAAAAATATCATCATGTATCATTTTTACAAAGGGGCATTACCATAGAACATCTTCTGCAATCATCACGCTTTCTTGTATTATTTAGAGTGCCTATCAGCATTCAATATCTGGTAAGGCAATGGATTTGTTGCATTACTTCTCTATCATCTCAGAGGAAACACAAGGACAGAATCTCCCTCTTCACAGGACAACAGCCGCATGTCTTTGGTACATGAAAATACCCACCATGGGGATCTCAAAAGCGACATAACGCATCAATTACAGAAAAGGATTGATGAGATGGAAACAATGTTACAACATACACAAGAAAAGTTACATCAGGCAGAAACAGACCGAAACTACTGGGTGGACAGGTGAACATATTGATAAAATTACAAATTAAAATAGTGTTCTTTCCGTAGGTACAGGATACTATGTATAAATTTAAAGTTGCTACTAACAAATACCACGATGAAAACTTAAATATGAATACTTAATGAACTTTACTCTGATTTCGTTAGATTATGACTAATCATATATAATTATCTTTATAGAATTCATCTCCCGATCTAGATTTTCACATGTCCGTCTATCACTTTTTCTCGCATCTGTGCCCATAAAATTAAGACCCTAAACATTCCTAGAAGGTCCTAGAAGGACAAAACTCCTTTCTTAGTTGCCGTCAACATCATTGTTTGCCTTTATTGCTTCTTACTCTAAATTCGTAGCAAATAGTACTATTCACTTTCTTTTACACGTGTTCACTAATGATGATCAAATTGTGGAAACACATGCAAACACATTCATGGAAGACGAACGCAAAGATATAAAGCATAAACCAGATATAAAAACATGAATATAGTCAAACATTTAGTATAAATTTCATTTGTGATATGAAACATAGATCTATCGAATTATCTACGATTTAACATTCGACATTATAAAAACTGAAATTCAAGATTTATTATCCGGTAAATGCATCAAACACATAACTTAGATGAACAATATGAAATAGCACACGCGTTGATACAAAGCAACGTATAAAACATTTTATCAAACAAAAATATATGATATGAATTGTATAGGATGAGTCGGGTGACGGGAGAGAAACTAACCCGAGATAACCCAGATGTTACTGACCTAAGTGACCCAAAACGACCCAACAAATTAGGAGACGAATATAGTGAACTGTACGATAACGAATGGACGGATGCCATGGAAATACTCACGGAAACAACGGAAGCAAAAGACAGTGATCGCAGAGGAATTGACATCTTACTTAATATTCTTCAGGTAGAAACGTACTTGTATGTTCTCTATTGTCCGTAGGAAAATGGTCATAATTGGGAATCTATTCAATAAACGTTAAAGAAGGCATTAATTTTGAACTTATTAAATGTTCGCATAACCTTAGTGATATTTATATAAACACCATCTACACATACTGTGTATCATATCATCATAACGCATTAAATAGCACTTCATCGGAACATATCCGATAACCATCTTACATTGAATTGATAGAGGTCTTTTGCTTTTGTTTGAAATAATTTAGATAGTTTTAAACGTAATACTGATATCCAACAAATCGACATGTTATTAAACACTCCTCGTATAACGTTTTACCAGACAACAAATGATAGTTATATTTCAAATTTAATCGACACGAGTTTGCTAGATGTCCTTATCTATCGCTTAATTTTACTTTGAATGAGTTAATTTGCTCATTTTAAAAGGAAATTATGAAAATATTTGTAAGTGGAAATAGCAGACTTTACAATAATAATGAAGAAAAAAATGAAACCAACTGAAATTGAGGACGGTATTGAATTAGATATCGCTTATTACGTTAGTTAAGCTTCGACTCTCTCTCATTAGATATGTTTGCGACAAAATGAAATAATCTTGTGAAATTATATGAAAAACATGGCAATATATATTTGTTTTCAAAAAACAGACAGGGAATCCAATTAGTTTAACATGTTTATATACATTAATGACAAAATGTAAGTCTACTTTTGACTTTTGGAATATCACTACTGTTTCGTTTTCGTTTTTTAATAACTTTTTAAACTTTATCTTTACAGCGTACGCATGAATCGTGTATTACGATTGCAGATAATCAAATGAAGAACTTACAAACAGCTGTTATGCTAGAGACCAGCGCGGAGGTATGTTTGTGTAAACATTTGAACAACAGATATAAAAATATAGACTTCTGTCAATAAAACAGCATTAAAAGTTTTACTTCAGGCAAAAGTATCAAATTAGTAATGGTATTTATATTATTATAGAGTATAATGACCACCTCTGTATGGCAGATTTCACTCACATTATAATGACCTCCTCAGTACTTTAGTGTGTACCTACAGTATAATGACCACCACAGTTCTTTAGTCTGTACCTACAGTATAATGACCACCTCAGTACTTTAGTGTGCACCTACAGTATAATGACCTCTTCAGTACTTTTTGTATGTAGCTACAGTATAATGGTCACTTAAATACTTTAATGTGTACCTACAGTATAATGACCTCCTCAGTACTTTTGTCTGTACCTATAATGATATATACTTTGGTCTACAGTATTAAATACTTTAGTGTGTACCTACAGTATAATGACCTCCTCAGTACTTTTGTCTGTAGCTACAGTATAATGATCACCTCAATACTTTAGTTTGTACCTACAGTATAATGACCACCACGGTACTTTAGGGTGTACCTACAGTATAATGATCACCTCAATACTTTAGTCTGTACCTACAGTATAATGGTCACTTAAATACTTTAGTGTGTACCTACAGTATAATGACCTCCTCAGTACTTTAGTCTGTACCTACAGTATAATGACCACCACAGTTCTTTAGTCTGTACCTACAGTATAATGACCTCCTCAGTACTTTAGTGTGTACCTACAGTATAATGACCTCTTCAGTACTTTTTGTATGTAGCTACAGTATAATGATCACCTCAATACTTTAGTCTGTACCTACAGTATAATGACCACCACGGTACTTTAGGGTGTACCTACAGCATAATGACCACCTCAGTACTTTTGTCTGTAGCTAAAGTATAACGGTCACCTCAATATTTTAGTCTGTATCTATAGTATAATGACCACCTCAGTACTTTAGTCTGTACCTACAGTATAATGACCACCTCAGTACTTTAGTTTGTACCTACTGTATAATGACCACCTCAGTACTTTAGTCTGTACCTACAGTATAATGACCACCTCACTACTTTAGTTTGTACCTACAGTATAATGACCTCCTCAGTACTTTAGTGTGTACCTACAGCATAATGACCACCTCAGTACTTTAGTTTGTACCTATAGTATAATGACCACCTCAGTACTTTTGTCTGTAGCTACAGTATAATGGTCACCTCAATATTTTAGTCTGTATCTACAATATAATGATCTCATCAGTACTTTAGTGTGTACCTACAGTATAATGACCACCTCAGTACTTTAGTCTGTACCTACTGTATAATGGCCACCACAGTACTTTAGTGTGTACCTACAGTATAATGACCACCGCAGGTCTGCACGTACAGTGAAACGGTCACAACAGCATTTAAGCATATTTCTACGGTATAATGATGAGCTCGGTACTTAAGTATGCTCTTACAGTGTAACGGTCATCTGAGTACTTAAGTATATCCTTACAGTATAATGGTCATCTCAATACTTTAGTGTGTACTTACAATATAATGGTGAACTCAGTACTGATGTATGTCCTTACAGTATAATGGTCATCTCAATACTTTAGTGTGTACTTACAGCATAATGGTGAACTCAGTACTGATGTATGTCCTTACAGTATAATGGTGATCTCAATACTTTAGTGTGTACTTACAGTATAATGGTGAACTCAGTACTGATGTATGTTCTTACAGTATAACGGTCACCTCAGCACTAATTTCTATACATTCAGTATAATAGTGACAGTACCTTCAGTCTATTGTGGACAAATTATCTTTTGGTTTTTATCAGTCATGGCTTTATTTCATTCGTTGTTTTAATGTTGTCATATATAGTTTTATTGTCGTATGACTATATAAATATTCCCTTTTCTCTTTTATCCAAGGACAAATCTGGCGACAGTTGTCCTTTAGAAGTCCAAAGAAGTCTGAGAGATGCACAAAAGCAAGCGTCTGTTCACTTAATTTCAACAATACAAGAGGTGTGTTATAGATATCTTAAAATTTGCGATTTACTTTGTTATACAATACCTCGCTATTTACATAGTTCAGGAGGGACCTAGCTTGACCTATGCTTATATACATGACTATTATTATTAAATTTTATTTTCTTGTTTTCTTGTAAATTAAATGGATTCCAAATCGTCTTGTTGTTTTCTTACACCTGTATTGCTTTGTCATCAAAACTGAACCTGAAGCGATTGATCAAAATATTGGATTGATTGATTTCAGATCTATTCGCCATGTAGTATTTTGTATTTAATCTGACTGATATGGAATTCCTTCGACCAATGAAAATCAAGATAGCAACATACTCATAATTCAAAATATTATTCAATAAAACTCAAAGCAAAGTATGGACAAAAAAAGATTAAAACGGAGATTAATGAAAAAGCACAAGCAGAATAAGACCAGGGTGTCCGAAAGAGTAAGCGTCTTTTGCTTCACCGACGGCATCAGTCGTGTAAATCACGTATATCAGCTTCATATCGCTCCAAGAAATACAATATTTCTCAGTGAGATTACAATGATGACTGTAAAGCTTCCCCATAATTTTATCATCCTGCATCATTTGAAACCCTGTATTACGAGTTTTCCCCTTGAATATTGCATTAACTGCAAAATGTAAACACCTTACGTTGGGCATGCAGGTATATTTGCTATCCAGAAATGGAAAATTTACAATAGGGGGAATTGAAATCATCACGCTTACCTGACAGCTTGGTTGAAAGCTGTTCATGGTGACTTCGCTATATGAAAATCAACCGTTGAAAGCTGTTCATGGTGACTTCGCTATATGAAAATCAATCAAGATAGGTGGATGATGGAGAACAATTTGTCGTGATTTCCAAGTCTGGTGTGTATTTACGTTGGTCGTGGTCAATAAATTTCTCATTATTTAAAGATCTAATCATGTATATGAATATGAAAGTAAAAGACTTTGCATGGTTATTGTTTCGATAAGTTCTTCAATAAATTCAGTCTCATATGAAAACAAAAATCAGTCAGCGAACAGAGGGGCACTGTTTAGGACTTAAGTATCACTGACGAATATTACAAGGACTAGCTGTGCCTGATAGTCATTGTTATATTTAGCTGTATCTAACAATTCATGATGTGTATTTGTTATGTCCAGCCTCAAGGGCTTGTAAAGTATTTTTAACACTCTTGTATCACGTGTAAAAATATCATAGAACGTTGCATTCAAAAATATATCCTTGGATGTCATGTTTCGTCTCGTATTAAAAAGTAAAAAAGATTAATGCGTATAGAAAACTATGACAATTTTTTTCCATGTATATTGCAGAATGTAAATCAGCGATTAGAATCACTCAAAGAGAAATTCGGGGACTTTCCCTTGGACAAGCTGGTACCATTCGTCAATAAATGTACAGAGATATGCTGGGCAATGGTAATGCAAAGTCCACGCATGGAGTTCCTCTTCCCTACAGAAGTACATGGAGTGAAATTCAATAAGAACCATTTTAAACAATTCGTGCATTCTGGAGAGACATTGGATTTCGTTGTCTGGCCCGCTTTGGCTACACACAAAAACGGCCCCCTCCTTGTAAAAGGCGTTGTTCAGCCTAATGCCAAATAGAATTTAATGCATAAGATCAACATATAATATCAGTATCATCTTTTCTTTACATAGCCTTGAATTGATTCACATTCGATTTTGTGGAATTTCCATAACCAGTGTACATCTGTTAACTTAAATGTGTTTGTATATTAATGGACGCATCTAATTATAAATTTCTGACTGTGGAAATCGAGAAGAAATAAATTGTGCTTTTGACTACATCTTATAAAAAACGCTGATATTCTCATTATCTTCTTTAATTACAATATTGATATTGAATGGTGAGAAAAGATCTTAGTTTTAGTGAAATATAGTCAACGATACGTTCCCTTTGATTAAACAACCTATTCAAATGACTCATTGAAATTGCACAAATGAATCTCGTCAATCCAACTTAGTTATACCACATTTCAAATAGGAACAAGATTAACAACTATGTGTATATTTCTTGTATACGCTCTAAATGCATATTTCATACTTTTGTGATTAAATCTATCTTTAACACGATAACATGTTTAAACAGAAACGCTCGCGTGAATATGTGTCTATTTTGTTATTGTTATTGTTATTTTATTTTTGTTAAACCATTTCAAACGTGAACGTCTCAATGGGATTTGGGTGTATTCTTCTTACCCATCCGATGTACAGTTTGTATGTGTTGAACAGCGACCTCATGGATTAGATAATGTCTGCATTAATGATATAGTCCCAGAAAAAATGTTACAACTCAGTTTTAATACGAAATCACAGGCAGATGGAGATCAAGAAAAAATGCTATTATCACTAGTATCTTCATATGAACACAATGTTTTTGATCGTGCAACTTTGTATAGTAGAGTAGGCGCGCAACTGCCTGTTGAAGGAGATACATATTATCCATTTGTTTAAATCACGGATATACCGTTACATAGATACAGAACAAGTTCACATGTGTATCGATTGTTAACACATATGTCAACAGTCACGTGATTGCATGCCAATGTTGTTATTTTGCCAGACATTTAAATCTTAACACAATGCGTAGGTAAATGCCAAACGGGTGTACAGGTATCAGACACACACACACAAGTACTCGAAAATGCATTGGTAACATTGTTATCAGTTGTGTTCTATCAAGTCTACAAGTATCGAGATGGCTACAACTAGGAAGTAATCTACCCGTCAATATGCCTTCGTAAGTGATTTGTTATGCACTTTTTTGAGGTGTGGAGTATTTTTGTTGTGATTATTTCATACAATACGCATAGTCTGTAACGATTTTTTAAGTACAAGCTAGTAATGATATATTTAGGACAAAACGGCAGCAACACTTAGTTACGTATAAACTTTGTATATATTATCTGCATCAAGATATTTGACGCCATTGTTGACCTCGGATATAAACACTTCAGACATGAAAATATACACTCATTGTCAAGGAAGGATAATATGGTAATGTGTTGTGGATATGATTAGTTGCAACATGGTATCAATACATTTAGCATTAATTAAATGTAAGATATATCTATGTTTGGTCATAGGTATTAATTCCAGATCCATGGTACAGATATATATATATATATATATATATATATATATATATATAATATGTGTGTGTGTGTGTGTGTGTGTATGCATTACAGTGACAAGGGAAATAACTCCTGAAAAGCGAAAATTGAACTTGTTTTGGTAACATCAAAAACTCGTTGCAAAGGGGAAAATATCTCCGATTTTTCCTTCACGGAGTTACAACCCTTGTTCCTATAATACATAAATAGGTCTATGGACTGTTGGTTGGCAATTCGTGCCTGTTAAACTGCAAAGAACAAGACAGACAACGACAATAATTATGGTTTGTCGTTTATTGTATATAAACAACAAACTTGAAAATATCAATTTCAAAACGGCATGTAAAAAACATTTGGTCCTAGGTGGAAATAAATACGTGAGCATCCATTGCATATGATCAATACAAATTATATTATTGATTCTAAAGCATTAAGAATTATATATGAAAAACTGACATCTATTCACGTTATATGTTAGGAAAATATCGTCCAAATAAGACAGTAATTAACGCCAATTCATCTGAAAAATAAAGAAGAGATGAATGCGGAGTAGTAGCAGATTAACCTGATATGCGTCTCCCTTTGCTTTATGAACACACTACTAATTTTCTGCGTATGACCAACTCAATAACCCATTCTTGATCTCTCGACCACTTTACCCTTTTTGCATCACAAAGTCCGCGAATTTATAAACTACCACATAAAGCATCACAAAAAATGATATTAGTGGATCATAACAAATATAACAACTCTCCTTGCATATATTAAATTAAAGTTAAATAATGTTAGATATACTGCATGTAGCCATAAATAAGACAAACACTGGGTATGCTTCAGATCGACCCTTATTTGTGTATAAACAACTAAGCTGTAGCAATTGTATACGTACATATCAGGTCCTCATTCTATGAAAACAAAACACTGAGGTGCATTATAAACTTGTGCTGTCAAATATATATTTTATTATATTGTTACTTATCATCAATGTTCGTTTAAATTCTATATTGTATTATCTATGCAGAGTTAAAGAAATCAATGAATTGGTCGTGTCTATGAAGAAGGATCTAATAGAAACAGGTGGTAAGAATTTAATTGGAAATGAAGACACCAAGGCGGCATGGGGAAACTTAAATGATAACATCAAGGTAAGGATTTATGTGTTTTTATGTGGAAACGTGGCATTTCTTATTCAAGATTTACAAGGCTGATGTCCGTCGGCGGTTGGTATTGGATATGAATAAGGACCGTATATTACACTGCATTATTTTGAACACAAAACCTTTGTAGCAAGTATTAGTAATTAATTGATTTAACAATGACACAAGAAAACTACCATTGCATGCAATAAAAACGGATGTCAATGAAATATAATTGAACAAACACAGGTTTTCGAGAGATATAGAATGATAAAGATGATTTGGAAATTTTAAGGTAGTCATGGTAAGTGATTGAAAAATATTCAGTTTCTTTATTAATGTTTGATACTCATAAGTGTGCCCGGTGGTTTCGTTGTTGTTTTACCATGAAATTTGTGACATCGATGAAGATTTAACCGTTAAACTTTCTGGCATACCTGGTCTGATTGTCCTTGTACTTTCGTGTACTTCTTTAATCCTATTTTACGGCGTTTTCTTCCAATTTGTATGTGATATATAATTGTGTAAGCATTTCCAAATCTCCATTGTTGTTATTTTACTAGAAGGATAATATCTCGTTGAATTTGCATCAGAGCAGTTAATGGTGTATGAACGCGTGTCATTAACCCATTTGCTGCTTTTAAATTCTTAATGAACATTCCGACACTCATGCTAAAGTAGCATAGTACATAGAGGATATTACATTAGATTTATTTCAATATTATTAAAGATTTATTAGATGATTGTGAGAATTTGCCATATTATTTTGCTGAGGAAGTGCAGCGAATTCCATTCTATTAACGTCATATAAAATGGAATTGAAAGAAATATTACATTAATGTAACTCACAAATGTTTGAAGTCTAAGTGAAAACCGCATTTCATTCGTGTGATATACAATCTAAACAGAAGACATTCTCTCTTCATATCCCTTTCCTTGGTGACATTTACATAATGGTTTAACTGATAACCGGATAGATATGTGGTAGACTATATTTCACTGTTTAAATTTTGAAACCTAGAAGGTAGTGTATTAATGACCTGTTTTGATATTTTCCTATTGTCACATAGTCATTACTAGTACTAAGGCTATTTTTTTTTACATCTGATGTTAATAGTAAACTAGACATTACATAGACTGAGCATTTCCCAGCTATATTTGTGGATTTTTAATGCATACATAGTTACATAGAATATATTGAATTTTGTCAATATTTCTGAAGAATATTTTTTATGATTAAATGAACATATTAACATTTCACGGAAATACACTTTATGTATAATGGGAACATTGTTTTAAAAGAGACTCTGTATAACATCGAACATCTTTACAGCAAAGGAACAAAGATGAGCTGGGAAAAAGTTTTGAGTACCTGGAGAATATTATACATCGTGACTTCAGAGTCAAACCAGAGAGACTGCTTCAGGAAAGAAAAGAGTACGCTAGAGGGCGAGCGTCGATTTTATCTACGTGCAGGACAGATGACAGTCGAGAATCAGTAAGGGAGCCTAAGTAGTGTATACCGAAATATTTTCGTCTCTGGTTATTTTCGCCTCGTACCATTACATGCAAATTCGCCTTCTGTCTATTTCGCTAATTGAAGTTTATATAAATGTATAACAAATTGTCGGCACAGTATTTAGTTATCTCCCTTTTAATTGACAGAAAGAGAGAAAATTTAAACGGAGACGAAAATTTCCCGGTATGCAAATATCATAACTGACTAAACTTTGAATAAGGGTTTCTTACGCTTAGGTTCATGTTAGATTGAAAAAACGCAATAGAATGAAGCTCGTGATATAAAAAGGCGCCTTCGACAATTTTTGATTTGGAATTACTGAGTTTCTTTGTAGATACTTTCTATAATCATAAGAGGGCATTTATCATAATGATCCTGACTAGCAATATCTGTTAACGACCTGTTGTGACTTTAGTAGTGGAACGGTGCATTTTATATTTGAAATTTGATCATACTCTCTTCATCCAGAGCAGCATTTTATAAAATAATAGATAAACAAAATATTGAGAGCTTGAGAGAAACCCAAACCTAGACTTTTGCTATGAGGCTTTCATATAAACAGTCATGTCAATAGAAGAGGGATATCAAATAGCACCATAGCGAATGTTAAGTCCATAGCGCTAAGCACCATGAGTGTTGTGTCTATGTGAATGAATCATGTCCTTTCGAGATTTAAATTTGTCATCTTCTTCAAAAATTAAAAAAAGAAGTGAAATAATGCATGGTTAAAAAAGTAAGCATCGTTTCTGATATTTTAAAAATATTATAGGCAAAACCCTCAAAAGTGTCGCAAAGGCAAGACGTCAGAAAGACCGT